CCCGTATGTGAAATAATTTCCTCTCTATGAGGCATTGGTCAGGCTGCAGTTGGAGTAATGCATCCAGTTTTGGGCACCACACTTCAAGACGGGTGTGGATAACCTTGAAAGGGTTCAGAGAAAGGCTACTTGCATGGTTGAGGGCCTGCGGGTAAGATCCTATGAAGACAGACTGAGGGACCTGAATCTCTTCAGCCTCTGCAAGAGAAGGCTGAGAAGTGATCATGTACCTGTCTACAAATTCATCATGGGGGGGATCAGCAGGGAATAGGGGATACTCTGTTTACCAGGGCACCCCTTGAGGTTACTACAAATAATGGCCACAAACTAAAGGAGAGTAGTTTTAGATTGGATATCAGGAAGAAATTCTTTATGGAGCAAGGGGTCAGACTCAATGATCTAAAAGGTCCCTTCCAACCCTAGAAATCTATGAAATCTGTAAAATCAGAGTAAAATCAGTGAGGCATGCACACAGCTATGGAAGTGGCTGATGGTCCGCTCCTCCATGCCTCTTAGGTGAGTTAGTGCCCAGCAGCTACAAACTGGCTAGTGGGGCCCAATCAGTTAGTGAGACAGACAGATGCCAATGGGACAGAGTGGGCTAGTGGATTCTGGGTGTGTTGCTACAAATAGGACTGGGGGGAATGGAGGGGTGGCAAAACAGGTTAAGCTAGGCCAAGCATGGATTCAGTGGGCACACTCAGGAACTCTGGGGAACAGCCTCCCAACATAAAATACATCAAGGTGTGGCAAGTGGGACAGTAAGGAGGTTACCCTAGAAAGACAGAGTTGGCAGGATTGGTTCAGCTACCTGGGGGTGCCGCAGCTCCCCTCAGGGCCATCCTGCTACACATATCGACATTGGTCTCAAGGACTCATGTGTCTAAGATGTGCCAAATGTGTACAATAAACGGAGCTTATTGGTGCTTGCACAGCAGCACCCTAATGCAGCTACATTACTTCCTGATAGGGAACAGGCACTGTTTGTCTCAATAGGTTACTGGCTTACAACATATGCATTAGGGCTGTGTGAAATTTCACCAGCAGTTTCATTTTGACTCTGTTTCGACTTGTTTTGAGCTCGAAACAGCAAAATTGAAATGAAACAGGGAGCTTTGAAACAGTCTTGAAATGAAACAAGGCAAGTCAAAACATTTCAAAATTTTTCAAATGTTTTGAAATTTTCAAAACTTTTCAAATTCTGAAGTTCAAGCTGGACTTGCCTGCAGGGAAACAGAAATTAAAGTAAGGGAGGGGGAGAGGGGAAAAGGAGCACTCTCATTATTGACTGTGTAGCTGGGCAGTGACTGTCATTCTTCCCTGAGGTCTCTTACAAACCCAGTGCTTTGGGGGAAGGATGGAACAACTGCATAAAAGGCAGCATTGTTTGAACTGCCCTGCTTTCTGCCTTGGTGTCAGTTACTAAGCTGTGTTCCAGTTTTGCCTGTCAACAGCTAGGGGTGCAGGGCCCCAGAATCCAGACTCCCCCTGCACCTATCTCCTTGACAGCTGGCAGGCTTCATGGCTGCAGCAGGGGCTAGAAGGCCTGCAATTTTCAGCCCCCTGTGCCCTAAGACAGACACAGTCAGTTGCACAAGCACCCATGTTACAAGTTTTGCCTGTAAGCAGCCAGAGGTGCAGGGCCTCAGAACCCAGAAGCCCCTGCACCCATCTCCTTGACAGCTGGCAGGCTTTGTGGCCTCAGCAGGGGTAGCATGCCTGCAGTTTTCACCCTGCTGCACCTTCACTCACACACACACACACACACACACACACACACACACAGTGTCACCCATGTCTTGAGTTTTGCTTGTCCGCAGCTTGAGGTGCAGTTTCCCCAACAACCCCTTCACCTATCTCCTTGAAACTTGGCAGGCTTCATGCCCTCAGAAGTGGCTACCATTTCTGCAAGTTACATCCAAATCAAGCTAGAAATGACAAAATTATAAGCTGTTTTGGGCTTCCGCATTATAGCCTATAGGTGAAACGTCAAAACACGTTGAAATGTTGAAACATGACGAAAAACGTCTGAAACAATATGGAACAGTAGTTTGAAATTGAAACAAAGTTCAAAATGAAACTCTGTTCCACCGAAACATCAAAATGCAAGTCAAAATGGAACAGTCTCATTTCACACAGCCCTAATATGCATAGCCTGCAATTTCTTTATGGAGGTGTTTTTAATAATTCAAGTGTTAGACAGCAAAAACAACTATACTTTATACTTGATATCCTTCATTTTAAAAAGAAAAAAAAAATCAGAGCTGTTAATAACTGTTATCTTTTTTGTTATATTGTCATTTGGTCTCAAAAATAATTTTAGAATGATAACTTGCCTCCTTTCGTGATGTATTTTGATATATTGCCCCGTTCTCTTCCAAGCTGTTAAAGCAGATTATCCCCAAATGATCTAGAATTTAATCATTCATCTCAGATGTCACTGACAGCCTAAATAAGTCATCCTGTTTTCCCATCACTTTACAGAAAAGGTTTTTATTTTGGTAGTTCTCCAAATTATTTTGATTTACTCATTCGCATAGCTCATTTTTCACAGTACTTTATGGGACAATGATATTTATAAAACAATAGATAATGCATGAAACAAATAGGCAACTAATCAAATAAAAGCATAATATAGCAATATATGTACTAACTATGTGAGCATACTGACAACATGAGACTTGCCTTTACGAGTACTTGAAAATACACCCAGATCCTCTCCTTGTTTTCTCAGAGGGGAGACTGCCATTTCTTCTACTATATCATCTTTCTTCCCAAATTTTAATCAGGGCCATGTCACGCAGGACACTTAGCACATGTTAAATGCACCTTAAATGTGAGAGTCCATGCGTTAAGTGCTTGTATCATAGCGAGTTTATGACTTTTCACATGCAAAGTAATTTTAGGTTATATTAAGTAACACCTGTTAAGCTACCATTGACCTACTCCAGAGATAATATGAGCAATTTTTAGTCATCCAGCATCCAAAGATACACCACTCCTAGAGCCCCCACTTTTATTTCAAGGGCTACCCAAACTCTAGTGCCCACAGGAGTGATACCAACTCCAAAGCAAGCCCAACCTGTCCCAGGAAGGCGAGGACCATCACCACCAACGGTGGGAAGACGAGCTGACAAAACCAGGCAATCTGAGTGCATCACAGCCCAGATAGTAGCTTGGGGGTACTAGCAGGACTAGCAGCAAATCCACACTAGAATCAAATGCATGAAGTTGCAGTATGTTTGGTCAGGGATGTTGAAAAGCTCTCGGTCACCATGAGGACTATGGTCCACTACTACAAGGAGCTGTCAAGGATCCTCAAAGTAAACCATGCTGTTGATCCCAACCACACCATGCACCACATTCCCCATGCTAACCTGATTGGTAATCAATGGAGGCTGTTTGCCAACTTCCAAATCATCAGGGCTATGTGTTTCTTGATGGACATGAGGTGCAGAAGCCTAGTGCCTTAGTGCTGGAGCAGGGGGGGGCAGCTTGGTGCAAAGGTCAATGCATGGGTGACTGGTGCCTCTTGAGTCAGGGGAGCCATGTGCCCTGCTTGACACCAGTCAGTGAGCGGGGGGAGGGGGGGATCCCCTGGTGGCCAATCCCACCCCAGGGGGGAGGTCGCCCAGCAGCCACCCGGCAGTCGATCCTACCCACCAAAAATCCCATGGCCACTTCTGGAAGCAGCATGGCTGCTTTTGCTGGTGGCCTGGCTCCCCAGCCAGCACTCACAGGGGAGGCACTGGTGCTCCTACCAGCTAAACAGGGAGTGCTGCCTGACAGGGTGTGCACTGGTGCTCTCAGAGGGTGCCTGTGCACCTCTGTGCAGCCCCTACATGTCACCCCTGGGTAAATGAATGTACCATGGGACATCCTAAAGTTTTACCACTACTGCTTGTCATCCCAGGTTCTTAGCATAAGCTGCTCCCACCAGTCCAACCTCACCAGTAGAGGCCAGTAGTGACAAAGTAGGATCTGATACTAGGCCTACAGCACCCCAACTTGCACAGCATTATGGTGCTGGGGGTTAGATTAGATGACCTCTAGTGGTCCCTTTTAATGCCACTTTTCTATAGCTCCATGTTCCTCTTGCAAGTGGGGCACTATGATACCCATGGCAGCACCTTACCAGGACTAGAAGCTCTCACTACCAAAGCACAGAATGCCTGTGGATTAGAGCAGTCACAGAAAGGATTTGCTCATTCTACCACTCACCATCTCCAGGAAGCTCCTGGAGATGTGAGCCTAGCTGAAACAAGCTAGTCCCAGCTGGGCTGAGTGAGGTATCCAATCCCTTGGAGCCACAAGCAGCAGGCCCCACCTGTTCCAGGCCTTAAAAGTCAGACCTAACCTGCAGTCTCCTTGTCTGGGCAAAGTGAAAATTCTTGCTCCTGAATTTCCGTGCTCTTCCTTACTGGTTGTCTGGTTCTGAGTCCTAGGCCTGGCTCCAACTTCCAATTCTGATAAGACACATGGCATTCCCTGATTCTACTTCTTGGCTCTTGATTCTGTTACAGACTTCAGCTCTGGCTTTTGGCTTCTGATCCTGGTTAACTTCAGCTTACCCTGTCTCTGCCTACAGCTTCTGACTTTGGCCTGTTTTGACTTTGGTTCTGGTGCTCAATTCTAGTTCTGATGCCATACCCCTCTGTATCCCCTGCTTCTCGGGGAACTGATCTGGACTATACCTGTGCTTCAGGTATCTAATCACTAGACAGGTATGCCCACATCCTGGTTTCCTAACATCACCTCAGTGAGATGATGGGCTAATTGGCACTTTTACCTACACTTGGCTGTTTTTGACCTCTGTCAGAAATATGGAAAAAGTCACTTCAGCATGGCATGCTAGGAGACCTGCTCACCAGTGCCTTAGCAGCAGAACATGAGCTGTGCAAGTAGGAATTGAAGTAAACTGTACTGGGAGACTGCTCAGAACTTGTTTTAACTTTAATGCTATGTACAGTTCTACAGAATAATGCATACCAAACGTCCTGTGCAACAAGGCTCTCAGAAGTTCTGCTGAATTTTAAGTATAGGGTCAGTGGCTGGAGAGAGAGCGGAACAGTTTCATCTCTGTCCTCATCTGTCTTATTCAGTTTCTGTAAGGAAATTAGGCTGAATTGCATGAACTCCCTTCATTCTGTCAGTGGTCTTCACTGAACAGCTGTGGAAAGCCTCAACTAGTGGCAGTAATTTCTTTCAACCCCTCCTTTCCCCACCCCACCCCGAAAACCAAATAAAAACAGTATAGTACCATGTAACATAACAAAAATGCACTAGCATTTGTAACTCTAGGAAATTCACACCACAATCAGATAATAGTCACTGCTTCACAATGCTCTGCTCACTTAGCAGCAAATCCAACAAATCTTGTATAATCATTTTATCTGTTGTACTGCATTGGCCTCCTAGTTAGAATCATGCCTCTCAATTGTGGGAACTAAACCCACTATTACACAATTTAGACAGAAAATAAATCCGAAGCAAACCATTGGCTTGTCTGAACATGAAAGAAAAAAAAAAATCATATCTCCAACCAAAAAGACTGATTTTTTTTCCCCTGAATAGTTCTGAATTTGCGTACATTTTTTCTATACCTTTTATTGAGGAAATAATGAAACTTTGCAGACGGATGAAGAGCTGCCTTTCTGTGCAAGCATCAGTTGCTTCAAGCAGTCAGCCAGATTTTTAAATTCCAGGTGCCCCAACTCACTATGATAAATTCTGTAAAAAAAAAAATCACTACATAGGGTCACCCATGAATACAAAGCAAGAATGGAATTTGTTGTCAATTGTTATGCATATGGCTATATGTAATTCTGAATTCAGTTGTCAGATGCAGTATTTATAGAACTCTGAGGAAGAAAGTGTTTTGGCAAGTTCATTGCTTAGATAATATGGTATAATTTGCATAAATAGGTAAGACAGAAGTAGGCCCATCGTATATAAGGATTAAATTTGATGAGAGTGGGGATGGATTTTTTGTTATAAGCAACTGAAAGAATGATGCAAAATGGTGCACTCTATAAATATTTCTGTTTCTATATTTGGGAGAAAAAGATGATATACTCAGGTCATAAAATAATTATTTAGTTACTTTTTATTAAGACAGTTACTAATTGAATAAAAACCTGTTGTATATTTAAAAAAATAAGTGAGATGACCTATGTAATTACAGACATGCACATCCAAGCTTATTCACAAGTAAAATAAATGAACATAAAAAAAAAAAAGAGATTTTATTAACAACCAACAATAAGAGTAGTATAATTAATACCACCCAAAACAAGTTTAAGGAAATTAAGGAGTGAGTGGTCAAACTAATTTGAAGAAACTAGAAACTTAAAGATGCTAGAACAATACAAAACAGGCACAGGGTATATTTAATGTGGGACAATGGACACTCTCCAGGGCCTGGTCATAGTACTGGCCTGCCCACCTGTCTAAGGCAGTCTGCCTGGTCTTTTCTGCCATGCCTTGTTGTTAAGATACTAGTTATAATAATGTGGGAAGCTGCCCTTTAATGCACCAATGTCTAGAGGTTTACACATGATTCTGAGCTTCCTTGTAATGGCCCATGTCTCTCAGATGTTACACTGTTGTTACTAACTCTATGCGCCCTCTTGCCACAGAGCCCTCTGGCTCCTGTGTCTCCACAGAATTTGGGCACTGAATTCTCTGGTGCCTGACTTTCTGTGCTTCTCTCCCAGTGCCTTTCTTTGATGTCTATCTCTCTGTGCCTATCCCTAGTGCCCAGCTCCATGTCTCTCTCTGCACCTCCCTCTCTGGTGCCCGGCTCCACACCTCCCTTTCTCTGGGGCCCAGTTCTATGCACCTGTCACTGGGCTCTGCCCAGACCCTGTGCCCTTTTCTCTGAGCACTAATGAGGCTTCCAAGCCTCCCCTTATAGCCTCATCCTGGTCCACTGTATTAAACAATAACACAAATACAAGTCCCTCAGCTACAGCATAACAACACTAATGGAGACTGTGTTCTGTCTCTTTAAGAGGGTATAACTTACACCCTTAGGACAACATATCTCTTAGCTCTGGGTACCTGAAGCCCCTGGAGCCTCACTGTTCTTGTAGGAAGCAAATAAGGCAGCAACTAGTCTCAGATAGGTGCTGCCTACTAGTTTCAGGTAACTTCCTTAAACAGAGGCTCTTTTCTTTGGCAGTTGCTAGAGAGAAAGTATGCTCCTGCTAGCTCTAGCCTTAGGCTTATATGTCCCCCAGAGCCCTGTCTCCACCTGGTCAACTGACTGCCTGCAGGTGCAGGCCAATTACCCTATTAAGCCATTGTTTAGGCAACCCACAGCTCTGGAGTTCTGCCTAGCTTTCTGAGCAGCCTAAAGGGAAGAAGGAGCCTGGCCAAAGTAGCAGGCACATCTTGGTGCCCTGCTACAAAATAGACAAAAAACTGGCTATGGGGTAGGTCTCAGAAGTAACTGTTAGTGGGGAATCATCAAATGGGTGCATCTCTAATGAGATGTAATGGGAAGTTATACTGCATCATCACAATGGTTCCACCTGGCCTTAAAAATCTATTACACTAATAATGATAATTTACTTACTAGTAGAGACTATCATTAAGGTTGTATGAATTGTTTACTTTGGACCTCTTGTTTTCAGCTCCTCCAAATTTTGAAGCCCCTATTACTTGGCTGAAATTCTCCAAGCCCATTCTTTGCCCAAAGTCAACATAATTTTCATTTCCTTGCCCTCTCCTTCCTTTTCTTTTAGTGAGATATTTTCAAGGACAGATGTAGCAGACAAATATTTTGCAAAACATATTTAAAAAAATTACACTATTTTAACATGTGAAGAAAATCCGTGGCACCAAATTGAAATATCTTTAATATGAAGACGTTTCTTTGAGTGAATGATGTTTTTTCATTTGACCAAATTCTATGTACAACTTTTCTACCTCTCTTTATCAATATTCTAAGCAAAGGAAGTCTCTATTTCATGTTATTGCTGTTAATTATTGATGATTGTTGATGCCTGGGCCCAGTTTAAAACAATGTAAGGGTGCTTTAGTTAAGAATCAAGAAAATCAAGAAATGGCTAAGTAAAGAGTACACATTTTTGCTCCTTTGTGAATGCACATTAAGAAATAATTTTCAGTTAATGTTCCTATAATGACGTGAGTCTAGTACGTGAATTTTTTTCTAGAGGTAATATTTAATGAATAAAACAAAGTTATGAAAAACTATTTACTAAGTAATGACACATTTTAATTCCATAAATTGAGCATCTTAATTAGATCATTAGAGTACACACGTGTAATTAGGCAGTAAGGATATTTAATTTTGTGTTGATTACCATGTGCAATTACAAACTAAATCATCTTAGGAAACAGTGGTGAAAAAATTGGCACCCAAGCAAAACAAGTTTTTAAAGTTTTTAACCCTAGTTTGATTTTTTTTTTTTTTAACATACCTGAAATGGTCCCGTGAACTAATGCTCTCAGAACAGTGGTTTTCAAACAGATTTTTGGTCATGTACCCCTTTACCTGTACAATCTTGCTGCTCATATCGGTTATACTTGACATGTCTCTGCACGTTCTTTAGGAAGAATATCAACACTGATGTCAATGTGCAGCAATGCCATTCCTCCCTGAGCACTGACCAATCAGAAGCTCCACCACTGTTATTAAAATGTAGGCATATAATCCCTTGGCAAAGTGCTGTATACATACATCCCTGGGGGGAGACGCACCCTGAGTCTGAAAACCAGTGCTGTAGGATTTCACTTCACTCCTATAACATATAAACAATGTTAGATGAATATTTATAAGCGTATGGCACAGGGCTGGAACACTGACCTGGAAGAGTGGAACACAACATGACTCTCCTCCCTTCCTCCTGCCTACATTGACATCCCAGACCTAAAACGGTTTCATGCCATCATGGAGGTTTGCATCCCTGACTGTTGCTTTTGCTTCTCTAATTCCCCCAAAATGTACTCAGGCTGCTTTGCAGATTTTTTCTCAGGAAATCTGGCTATAAGCTATAGTTACTGCCCTTGACTCTGTCACAGCTGCCCTTGAATTATAAGACCTAGTCTGGAGGGAGACTGTTCTATACAGAAAAAGGTCAAGGAAGCAAGCTCCTTTTGTTGACTGCTTAATCTTTTAAAGTATGCCTAAATGGGCTGCAGGTGAAAATATTAACATGCTTACATAAAAATCTGGCTTACAGACTCTTCCCCATGATCCTTTATAGAAAAGCTATGGCCATCTGTGGCACACATACCACAAGTGCCATGGCAAACCTTTGTGTGTGGCATATGGCAGAGCAGGGAGGGGACAGGCTGCACAGCAAAAAGCAGAGCAGCAGATTGGACAGTGAGCACACAGAAGGGAGCGGAAAGCAGGGCAGCAGATCACACAGAGGCAGGAGATGAGAGTGGTACTTGTAGAAGGTTCAAGGCTAATTTGGGGCATGCCTGCCAAAAAGTTGGCCCTCATTGATTTGGAAGAAGGATAAAGCTAACCTGTAGTGAGGGGTTGCTGACTTACCTGGGAGAACTAATTAGGGTATATTTAGTTTATATAAGTTCCAGATTTTAGCTATGAAAAGAGCAGACATGTCTATAATTAGGATATAATAGATGTGCAGAGTGAAGGCCTTGATTCTGTCAATAATGCAAGGGACAGAGGTACTACATAGAAGGGATCTTCACTGAACACAGAGTTGTGATTTCCTAAGGGCTGCATCTGTGTAGATGGTCTATATACATTCAGGAGTGCAGAAGGCAGAAAGATCATGTCTACAGCTAATTGGAAGAAGGATTTCACAATCCTATGAACATATAATCCAGGAAACACCACTGTGGCACATGCATTGCCTCGCTCTGTGGCAGACAGTGAATCCTGTCTGTCCCCCATTGTATTATCCATCTTTGGATCACCACACACTTTATACTTTTGCAGGGATCCCTGTGCTCCAAAATGCATATGGAAAAGGCTCATACTCTAATCACCAGTGATTGGCACTGCGTATTTCCAGTCTCTGATAAGAAATTATTTGGATCTACAAGACATTACTGGATGAGGGAGAGGTGAGATACCTGAGGACTTCGACCTCTGAAAGGCTAAAAAGCTCTTCCCTATTTGCCCAGCCCATTTTACTTTTAGTGTGAATGCAGGAGTGGGTCTGACTCTGTTACCTCTCCATTTTGCACTGGATGCTTGGTGCATGCTGAAAACACTCTGAATATTCTCTCAGTGCCAAAGATAAGGATTCTTTTCACCCTAGTGCATTGTGTTTACTAGAGCTGTAGGCTGCACTACCTGTGCACCCCTTTTGCCTTTAAATAGTACTTTAGGGTGATTATAGCTTTGTAATGAGAATAAATACGCACTGAATCTGAACAACAGAGTAAGGGGCTTAGGATAGCACTATGGTGATATGGGTTTGCAGTACAGCACAAAATTTACTCTGATATTGAATTGTACTGTTTAAGATAAACCTCACACACTGCAAACAATGGGTCAGAATACAGAGTATTTCAGCATCCTCCTGTGAATCCCTAATTGGTGGCAAATGATGGAATGTATTCTAAGTGAGTGCTAGTGTTTTTTAAGGGTTACTGCATGAGCAGACACCTGCTAATGCATATATATAAATATATTAGTGGCATGGAGTCATAAAAGCTAAAAGTCCCAGTTATTATGGATTCCTGTTCCAACTGATGGTTGTAGTTTAATTTAATTTAACTGTGATTAAATAACAAAAATCAATCAAGCTAATAATACCTATGTAAAAATACATGTGTCAGGGCTGCTCGACACACGTATCTGAGTGGCCAGAGGCTGCACACCACAACAGGCATGAGCCTCAGGCTGCCCATCACAGAGACCACATGCCACACAGGCAGTAAAAGCTTCCTTATCTTTACTGCCATATGGATGGTGAGCCCCCACTCCCAGTGCTGCCCTGCCCAGGAAACCCTGGCTTCCCCACCAACAATGGGAGGCAGTGGTAGCCAGGTGGGAGCCTGAAGGCCGCACATTAACTCTTCAGAGGCAGATGCAGCTAGCGGCCTGGCTGTTGGACAGCTGTTATATGCAGATTCTCTTTTAAACTGTCTTTTAAGCTGTTATATGTTAGATTCTCTTTTAAACTGATGCCACTAGCTTACATGCCCAGTAGAGGCTGTCTTGCAAAGACTTTGCCTTTTGAATTAGAAGCAGTGTACCTACCACTGAATGGTGTTGCGTGCAGTTGAATCAGCAATGTTGATTCACAGAGCAATTAACCTGCCTCCATGCTAACAACCCTGCTTACACTGAGGTGCCTTCACTGCTTCTGGTTTAGGAGTAACTTGGGAGCATTGCAGGTTGATATTACTAAGGACAGAAACTTGGTGGTCTACATGGCTCTGGCATCACAATGGGACTTTAAATGGACATTATTTATCACAACACTGACTTTCAGTCTCCATTATCCTACCAAAGTGGCATAAGGAGTCTTGGTTTATCTGAGAATCTGTATAATAAAATGTATAATTACTTGACAGCCCCAAATGGCCAATTTATTTGTTTTTTGTAAGTTTATTACAGGGGTGTCAAACTCATCTGGCCCCATGCACTAGATGAGGGTTACTGGGCCAGTTTGTGGGCTAGCTCAGGGCTGGCCCCCTGTGCCATGTGCAGGGTGTGTGGCACTGTGTCTAACCTGTCTGCCACATGTAGTATATGCTGGTCCTGCTCCGGGGCTTAAACTGCATGTGGCACATGGGTTGGACCCAGTACTGCACATAGTATAAGGGGTCAGGCCAGACCATAGGCTGCATGCAGCACACTCTTGGCTGACCCTGTGTACTTCCTCCAACATGGCCAGATCTAGACTGGCCCTAGAGACAGCATTCTGAGATGCTCTGGGACAGGCACCATAATATGCAGCACACACCCTGGACTGACCCCTTGTGCAGGGTGCAGCACACACGGTGCCAGGTCCAAGCCAAACACTGCACGCAGCAAGGGTGGGGGGCGGGGAATGTTGGGGTTGGTGCATGCCCCATAAAGCATGTGGGGTTGGTTCAGAAACCCACAAGCTAGGTTGTACTGCTCCACAGGCTGGATCTGACCCATAG